TGACAAAGATGAGGACAATTGTCCGAATAATATAAATAGCGTACATAATAACTCATCGCAGATATATATATATATATATATATATATATATATATATATATATATATATATATATATATACGTTATTTATATAGACACAAATATTTAAGTAAATGATCAGTTTTATAATAAACAGTATTAACAACATTTACCGACCTGAACGTCCAAGAAAGTTTCATAGAAAATATCTGTCTTCCAAATCGAACTAGTATCCTACACAGATCCGTTATATAGCCTGACATACTATAATAGTTTATCTACAGAGGAGAGTCTGGTTAGAAAAGTCGATTTTACTGCTTTTAAACCTCGATTTTCCATTATTTCCCTCGAACGATCATATCTAAACGTAAACAAATGACGTCACACACTACAAAGTCCGGTAATTATTTTAGTATATTTTATTGTTATGCGTTATTTATATAGAATCAAATATTTAAGTAAATGTTCTACTTTGTAATAAACAGTATTAACAACATTTACAGTTCGACCGACCGAGAAATTTCATAGAAACATCGGAGGACGCATATTTTCTATGAAATAGTAAATACACAAGCCTAGAGATCTCATTCTGCCGTGCTATTTAATCCATAGCTGGGGAGAAAATTCAAATTCGTGTCTTTCACAAGGGTATCAGTGCGAAAGTGAATACAAATGACTAAACCTGGAATTTGAACTCGGGACGCCGATTTCATTCTCTGAGATGATATCTGTTATATTATCAGCATGTCTGTCTGCTATCATTCTTCTTATTCTGTGTCCCTTAGGAAATTGGCGGTCATGGCTTTTCACAATTTCCTGTCTTTTGTAGCTCTTAATAAACTGTGATCTTTCGTTATCTCACCTAAACGTTGTTTTTCTAGATAGTTCCTGTATTGTTTCTTGTTCCTCTTGCTTTCAATCTGTACTGTGATTATCACATTTTCTAAATCCTGATTCTTCATTATATGCCCAGAAATTCCAAGTGTTTGTATAAGTCTCCTTTTACTTCTCTCGAAAACTTGGTCTTTGCCCACATGTTTGGCTTATGGTATTCCCAGCATCCTTCTGTAGAATGCATTTCTGTTGCTTCAAATCTGTTCTTCATCTGTGAAAGAATTGTCCAACATTCACTGTAATATAGGCGGACTGATATTATATGACATTTCATTACTCTTCTCTCTTTTCATAACAAAATTTTCCTGTCAGAATAGTTCTTCGTACAAATTGGTGGAAGGATTGTTCAAAATTTACTGGAATAAAGTCAAACTGATATTATATTACATTTCAGTACTCTTCTCTTTGTTTATAACAAATTTTTCATGTCAGATTACGTCTTCGAAAAAAATGGTTTCATTACAATTTTCTTTGCAAATCTCAGATTAGATGATAATGTGCCAAAACTATTTGTATAAAAGTGACTATAACCTCAACTTATTCTCTGCTAATTTAAACACGCGGTGTTACATCTATAAAATAGAAACTAAAAATTGGTACTGAAATTTTTCATGAAGTGAAAAATACCGTGTCGAGACTTTTTATCCGAATACGTAACAATGCTTTGGAATTAGCTACTGCGTATGTGTTCACACACTTTAGCAAACAATAAACAAATGACATACAAAGAAGTAGTCTTAAGTAATGTTGTAAAAGGTTTATATATACACTCTTTCGGGTTTTTTCACAGGTATGAAATCTTCTGATATTACGTAACTCATCCCAATGCCAGCTTTTACTTACTCTATTCCCTAAGAAAAATCCTCTCAAATATCATTTGTTTTACACAACAGTGGTCGCATCTTTGGCTAAATTCCTAGAAAATCCTTTGCTGGATGATATTAATCCTTATATGGTATTAAAGGAAGGAAGGAAGAAAGAAAGAAGGAAAGAAATAAAGAAAAAGAAAGAAAGAAAGAAAGAAAGAAAGAAAGAAATAAAGAAAGAAAGAAAGAAAGAAAGAAAGAAAGAAAGAAAGAAAGAAAAAGGAAATAACGTAAAAGAAAGAAAAATAAATAACGAAAAAGAAAGAAAGAAAAATGAAATAAAAAGAAAGAAAGATAAAGGAAATGACGAAAAAGATAGAAAGAAAAATGAATAACGAAAGAGAAAGACACAACCAAAATAGGAAATTAAGGAGAAAAAAAAAAGAAAGAAAAAGAAATAACGAAAAAGAAAAAAGAAAAGGGAAATAACGAGAAAGAAAGAAAGAAAGAAAGAAAAAGGAAATGACGAAAAAGAAAGAAAGAAGAAAGAAAGAAAAAAGGAAATAAATAACGAAAAGAAATAGATAAAAAGGAAAGCCAAAATGAAAGACATAAACAGAAACAAAGAAAAGAGGAAAACAAGAAGAGAAAGAAATGCAGGAAGAAAGAAAGCAACAGAACAAAGAAACGGAGAAACAAAGAAAAGAAAGAAAAAAAGAAAGAAAAAAAGAAAGGAAGGAATGTGTTCTTGGCGGCCATGCAAACAGAAATAACGAAAAATACTATAATGCAAAAAAAAGATAAGAGATTAGATTTGGCGCTAAAAGTCAGATAAAAGGAGAATTTGCTTGTAGTATTTGACTTACTTAAGATGATACCAAAAATAGACATTACTTTCAGTGTTAGCTCAGAGATTCAGTGAAGCTAAAGTGTGTCAGCGGTTTGACATCCTAGACGCCAGCCGCAGTTCCCATCTTCACTGAATGTCAGTTGCTTCCCTCTGACATGTAAGCACGTGGTCGACCCAGCTGCGCTTGAAATGTGCACACGTGGGACAAACCGCACGAAAATTAGTTATATCTGCACACATCCGTAATGATCAACGGAAAGAGAGAAAGTCTCGTACATACTCACGAAAATGTAGAATCGACGTTCAGAAAATACAAAAAAATTAAAACCGTACACTCACTCTAAAGATATAAACTGAGAAAGTTGGAATGGAATGAACAGTAATGTCACCGATGAGAGAATTCGTCTGCACAGCTATAACATTACACAATGTCGGAAAAACAGTGATTTAATATCGTAGTATTAAATCAAAATTCGGTCGGAATAAACAGGGAGTTGGAAATTTAATTAATTAGCAGGGGTGCCTAGAATGCTTTGTTCATTGGAAACCTGTGTTAAGACGATAACTCAGGATTTTCACAAAACAAGTTAGGGCGTGGAATAAGAGCAAGGGAAATTCTTTTTTTATCAAAATTTAATTAGTGGTGGTTCAATTATTACGGGAGCCTCGTGTACCAGCCACAGAGTAAATAATGTGCCTTATGCTCCTCCTTTGTTGCTGCTGATGTAGCAGAACCATACGCTTTTGATTTTAGCCACCCCTAATAAAAATCAACCTCACTTGATCTTGAATAAAATTGCACCCTTAAATTTGTAAGACTATACGTTCTCCAGGCTTCTTAACGTTTAAATCTCTGATTTGATTTGATCTTGATTTGTTTAACGACATATTAACTCCTTATGTGTCATTTAATGTCAAAATTTAATTTTCTTGGGAGGTTTGAAATTATAAAAATATGATATATGTTATTCTGCTTTCACATTTGAATACATGGTAGATGATACTCAGCTTTTGCTTATATGGACATTTCTAGAGGTAGTGATATATGTGTTTTATGTTCTAGTTTTGTTGAAAATATATTTCCAGTTTTTATCCAATTTCGATTTTTTTTTTTTTTTTTTTTTGACAGATAATTCTTCATTGCTGGTTTTGAGTCCAAATTGGTGGGAAAAAATTGCAACCTTAAGGATGAAAAATCGAAAAAAAAACTGATTTTTTACACTTTGCGAAAAAAAATCAAAGGCAAAATTTAATGTCTGTAAAAAATATCGTACAATCAATTTAGAGAGCTGAAATCTACCCCTAAAGATTATTAAAATTATAAAAAATATATATTATAAAAAAAATTATCGTATATTATTATTATGATGGTCCATGGAAGAGGTTTCTTCCTTGCAAGATTGAGAACAAATCAAATTGTTAACCCCCCCCCATTTGGGGATGTACCTCAGTTGCCATCAATCGTTGTTACTAATATTGATTTTCGGGTGGGCTGACTTTAAATTTAAACTGCTCCAACTGAACGGCAAAAACTCCCAGTAATGAAACACCCGGTCGAAAACAGGTTATACTGCAATTTTACTATAAATATGTATTATTGGTATTTCTTATAAAAACGGATAGCTGGTATTTTTACTATAAAATGTATTTTTATACTTTCATAGTGTTTTGTTTTTGTTTGGGGTTCACGATCTTCCCATAGCCGGGACCCTAACAGGTGCTACCTCCCCGAGCCAGGGTGAACCTGGGAACAACACCAATTAGGAGCTTGTCCCACACTCCTTATAAACTCCAATATTCCGATCAGAGGCCTTGCTGCCGGATGTAGTTTATCGTCATACCCAGCCATTTCATGATTCAAAGTAAACAATAAAAACTAGAGAAGGTGCTCTACAAGAATATGCAGTGATCAACAAATATGAGGATATTTATCTGAATAATTCAGGAACAACAATATGTATCCATGACATATTCAGGCAATATGAATAAATAATGATTGATTAGGTTTGGTTGATTGATTTTGACGAATTTTGTATAGGTCACCGTGTGATGAGCTTATTCGCTGCTCTCTATAGATAGGTAACTGGACTAACCTCGTTAAACATAATCCAAGGCACCTACGTAATGATTTTATCAGCTAAATTGAAGATAACATAATTTTAATATAATTCATAGTTTAATAAATATGAGCAACGTCGAGCCTGGTCAGTACCTTGATGGGTGGTATAATGGATAATTGTTCGGAACTGTTAATTAGGGGAGCTGAGTTCCAATTCTGGTTGGGTTCGTTATATTCACTATCGCGCAGATACCATGGGAAAGGTGTTAATCCATCTTTTCTCCCCACTCACCAACCTATGGGTTTAATTAATAAGGCGTGTATCATTGAATCATTATTATCTCAAAAACATTCTAACAATCTAAAAATAATTTTCTGGCCTTAGATGAACTGCAATGTGTTGATAAGCTGTAGAAAACGAAATCATAAATATAATTCATTTGAAAATATCAGATCTAAATTTTAGATTTTTTAAAATAAAAATAACACTAAAAATTATAAACTGCTGGCCAAAATCTTAAGGCCAATGAAAATAAAGAAAAAAATATTTGAGTAGTGTTTTTAAAAATTAAAATAAGATAAGGAAAACTCAAAATTAAAAACCAGGATTCAAATTTTCCCTATTAAATGCTAAATAAGTTTTTTTTAATTTTTATTTGATAGTTGACCTTAAGATTTTGAGCAGCAGTGTATTAATATTGTCCAAACAATCGATTATCTATTTGTGGTGTAGCATAGAGACGCTTCGTGAAATTATGACACACTCAAATACTGTGGTCACCCTCATTTAATCTTCTTCTTCTTCTTCTTCTCCCCCTCCTCCTCCTTCTTCCTCTTTTCTTCTTCTCCTCCTTCTTCCTCTTCTTCTTCCCCTCCTCCTCCTTCTTCTTCCTCTTCTTCTTCTCCTCCTCCTCCTCCTCCTCCTTCTTCTTCTTCTTCTTCTTCTTCTTCTTTGTTATGTTGCGCTTCTTGTGACATGTCCCTTCAGTAAGTTGGTGATCATAGCATTCCACAATTTCTTGTCCTTTGTAGCTCTGAGTAACTTTCGTTTTTTTTCACTATCTTCCCTAATCCCTGTGCTGCCAACCTCACCTAACAAGCTCGTTAGGTACTTTATGCGTTGTTTTCTTCTGTCCTTCTTGCCTTTAATAAATCCTGTGCGTGTCACATTTTCTAAGCCTTCTTTCCACATTATATCCCTTCGAAATGTTACCTATCTCTTTCTGATGTTAAATATTAATATGGTTTCCATTTTCTCTAAAACTGCGTCGATGTTTACATAGTGCTAATGCAGAAAAACAATAATAATCAGTTTGATTTCACCGTGCGAAATCATAGCAACAGATATTTTCATCAGATAAACCTGGACACTTATACAAGCGATGCATGTGTAAACAGGTGTTAATTACTTTGCCAAAGATTCGGAAGCCTTAAAAGAAAATTAACTTGAGTTGTAAGTATGGATTGCTTTGCGTGTACAAAGGGGGAATAAATAATTCAATAGGAGTAGATAGGTATTGATTCAATATAATACAGTATGCGAAGGATAAATTGTCGCCACTTTATAATTTTAATTTCGCGCATGCGCGTTATTTGTTTTTCATTTTGTTGACTGCACACTGTAGTAGGATGCGTTGGGCATTGTCTGTGAAAAAATGAACACCACAACGCAATTTGGAAACTGCATGATGTACTGCTTGGGATTCGGAGTGTTTGGGTTTCAATCAGTGAAGAGGATTCAGAATGAGTTGGATGAGGTATGGCAGCTCGGAAAACTCACTCTGATCGTTCTGATGAAAAAAAGAACTTCCGAATTTGTTGGTGAGGGCCTCAAACTCAACACGAAGGGCTAAATCAAGTGCTTTGAGCTGGTAGTGCTGCTCTAGGTCAAGAGGGTGTCAGCTGGAAGACCCTATATCTAGCAACGGGACTCTGCACTGTGCCACACAAGCATGAGAACCCAGACATAGCTATCAGATAATTTCTGCGACCACATCACCCATTACATCTTATCACCAAACTCCCCAGACTGCAATCCCCGTCATTATTGAGTGTGGTGCGCAGTTGAGCGAGAGACCAACAAAACTCCATGTAGCACTAAAGATGAACTGAAGGTAAGAATTATGGCAGAATTCACTTAAACAAGGAGATCCGTCCAAAAGAGAAAATTTCGAAGTCATCTGGAGGCCGTGGTTGGAGCCAATTGCGATGTTATTGAATAAGTTTACGCTTTAGCATTTAAAGATATTTGTGTAGTTTTAGTCAATACTAGCAGTAGAGCCCGGCGTTGCTCGGGGATGTAACAGTAAGAGATAGATCAAGTATCGACCATCATAAAGACTGAAGAATAAAATTGACAAAGATTATTGTTTAAGGTTGACGGACACGCATGTCTTAATTAGATTTTTGTTTTATTTTTACGAATTGGTCAAACCCAAACTCAAACAAAAACATTGGTTTCAATCGTTATGAGTCTACCCATTGAATAGAATTTTATTATAAACAATTGTCTTGTAAATGAAATTTTTAAAACATTCTGAATGTAAAAATAAAGAAAAAAAAGTGTGCAGGACAATAAGAAACACTACCTGCCAAAATAAAAAGTGAAGTTTTGTTGAAATCGGTTGAAAAATATAGGAAATCCGATCCTATATATAAACGAATACACACACGCGCGCACACACACACACACACACAAACAACCTGGGTTTTATAATAAGTATAACTCGATATGAGTTGCCCCCCTTTCATTCTCGTGATGCCTCTTAATCGTGTTATCAAATTGATTTCGTGCAAAAACAATTGTATTTTTCCAATGTTCGGCGCTGTTAGAACCACCGCAAGGTAATTTTACGTAGTCCTGTGAAGTTTTG